ATAGAGATGCATCCATGCATAAGAGTTCCTTGTACCATTAGATTAAAATTAATATAATTAATATTCCTGTGAGTATTAAAGGGAAAAAAACATATTCAAATAAATTTACATTATGATATTATTATTGAATAAGGATATATCCTTTCAGCGGAAAATTTTTTGAATTGGAGTTTGAATTTTTAAAATTTTTAAAAATTTAAATTTTGTAATCATTAGACGTACAATAACAACAAACCAAAATTCATTCATGTGATCAAGTTTAACGCAAAAATATACAAAATATGCTCATTAAAAAAAAAAAAAAAATATTTTTTTTTTAATCATGTGAATAGTATTGGAAATTTGAAATTTGTCATATTTATCGTGTGATCAATTGATATTGTTTCTTATTGTTACAAAAAAAAAAATTTTTTTTGGAAATGATTTTATAAATCTGGAACAATCAAAATAAATTTCCCAGATGCTATTATTTGTTTTTTTTGTACTAAACTCTATCTAGAATTTCTTTTATTTATTAAAATGAAAAAAAAAATTCTGTTTACCAGACCAAATTATTTATTATTTTATTTTATTTTATTTTATTTATTTTTTTAAAACATTACACACTATAAGCCCTCTTTCTTGGTTTTCACGAGGAATTTCTAAAAAAAAATTTTTTTTTTTTTTTTAATAATGAAACTGACAATATTATTGGTTTCTTTCTAAAATGGATTCATTCAAACTTTAAGCAGTTACAGCAGATATTTTTTATTATCGGATCTAATTATTCAAAAAAAGAAAATTCTACCGAATGCACGGGCGGGCGGATCTAAATTCCGAATTCCGAATAGTTCCTTGTTTTTTAATAGTCACTTGTCACTTGAAAAACTTGTCACCAAAATTCATTTTTTTTTCAATGATGGATTGATTGATTATAAGATAGCAGAATAATCAATAATAAATATTAGGAATTTATTGATATGTTTTTTATCATTGTATTAATATAAACTGATAGCAATTGGATTAACCTTTATTTTTTTCGGTTTTATCAAAATTCCGCAATTCAAACGCATAAATGATTCATTAAGATAAAATTTTTGAAAACAAATTCAAATTCGTTGGTAATAGCGATAAATAACTTTATTAGATTAAATAACAAAGAAAAAATATTAACAAAAGAGTGAGAAATCGAAAATATTCTCAATTCTCATAAAAATTTCGTAAAATTCGATTAATTCGTATTAATTCGTATTCGACAAAGGATTAAATTGAGTACACCGTAACGCCGACCGCCGAAGTTTTAACAATTTTTTTTTATAGTTTCATTTTATTATTAAAATATTTATTCGTTTGTATTGCTGGTAAAGAAATGCGAGGCTAAAATAAGAATTTCGATATCATAATTATTACGATCACATTAAATCAATACTTACCCCAAGTCTCGGTATTAAAGCGAATCCAAATATTCCTTTAATACGATCCATTAATCTTTGAATAATTTATACGATATGTTTCATTAAACCGCATAATATTATACAAAGTATTTTAGGGCTGTCTGTAAATTAAAAAAAAAAAATTTAAGAAATCTTGGTAAATTATTATCATTATTATTTATTGCTTGCTTTACCTGTGGTTTAGGATATTTGGATATTTCATTATTAATACACAATTAAAATGAAGGAATATAAGATGAAACGTCTTTATGTATCCCAAAGTCCCAGAATAATGATGGTGCGAACGATTGAACGGAGTAGCTCTTATATATATATTAAAAAAAAAAAAAAAAAATTTAATCACTCTGTTTACGTTGATGTGATAATTAAGTGCATGCGTTTTAATAACTGTATATACTTTTAATATATTATCTTGTCTTCCGAAATATTTCTATCATTCATGTAAGTATTGTTTTCGTATTTATTTATACAGTAGAGATTATATATTGTTACATATTACAATTATTACATGTATTATATAATTTACAATATACATTTTTTTAATAGAATTCAAATCTTGATGAAATTTTCAACGTACAGTACATAAACATGTCTAACGTCCTCAGTTAAACGAATTGTTCTTGTTTTTAACGTTATATAATATAAAATTCAAAGTTACACTAAACTATCTCAAGTTCGAATGGATTAAATTAAAATCCAAGTTCCAAGTTATCGGAAATAAATAAAACGAAAAAAACAAAAAAAAAACGAAAAGAACGCCCTCTGGCATGTCACAAAAATCCTCCGGAATGTCACAAATGCACAAAAATAATCTCATTTTTTCGCATGACATAATTTTAATCACATTTATTAGTTTTACTCTATAAAAAAAAAACGCCATCCTACCTGTTTTTATATAGTATAATAATTAATTATTAGACGCGAATTGACTTTTTTGATCATTAACTTTCTTATCATGTGTAAAGATCATATCAGATATGTAAAAAGTAAGTCTTATTATTAAAATTATTAATTAAAGTTTTTACTCTGATACGTGTCTTTCCTTTATTAATCTAGAAAAAATGAGTTTTAATAGAAAGGGGAAAGAGAACTCACAGCGGAAAACCAAAATAAGTTAATTCATTGAGAAAAAAATTTTCATTTAAACAATCCTGATAAGCAAAAGTAGATTATATCAGTTTCATGCATACTCATAACTCATATACTGTATCAATTAACAAGAGACAATGAGATAATCTGATATGTACAATACAAAGATATCATATAATTATTAGAAAGGAGAAAACGGCAACGACGGAAATACCAAATTAAGTTAATTCATTGAGAAAATAATAAAGAATTTCGATTCCCGATGAGTCACTATTAAAGAGATTATTCTGAATGTAACCAATTATACTAGAAACGAACGTCATATCAACGAATTGGATGGGAGAGTAAAAATATCGGTCAATAATCCATTGTCCCACTATTGACTGTTTATGTTACCCTCCCATTTAATAACTGTCGGTATTATTATGCATGCCGCTCAAGATCATGTCTAATTTTAACAGTTTTTTATATATAAATGTTTTAGTTTTTTAAATAATTAACCAATATTTTAATCCAACCTTCTAATAGGCTGCATAATAAATATTTATGTTTAAGTTTTACTATATGAATTATTCAGCATATTTCTATTTTTAAATTTACCCATCATGTTGAATTACCGACAAATAGGAACGATTTCACAGTATAAATTTAGACAAAACATGATAAATCATAAGAAGAAAAGAAAATATTATAACTTTTTTTAAAAAAATGAACACATTTTTTTTATTTGATTAATATTTAATACTGTCTTTAAACATTCTTTAATGATAAATATTCCACTTATAAACTCATTGTATCTAAAAATACATAGCTCCCAAATCTCTTGATCGGGTGATGAAGTTTTAACGTTTCGATTCTAACATGTTGCGATAAAAAAATTTTTCGTCGATCATAAGGTATCTTCAAATATTTTGAATTTTTAAATCTCGCATTTTTTTAACGTACCCATATTCACTAAGCACAAATTCCTTCTTATACAGTATTAAAGTGCCATGATTTATTTAATACATGGTTGAATCAAAAAAGTGATATTTTAGAATTATTGGAAGCTATTTGTTGTTGTTTTTTATAATTGTTTTTCTATCGATTTTTTATTTTATTTAATATTTTTATGGTTCTTTTATTATTATCGTATTATTATTAATAAAATTATATATAAGATTCGTTAAAATTAACAAAATTAAAAAAAAATATCTTCCGATTTCTCACCAAGAAAAATCTTCGATTTCCTACTGAATTACTGAATTCACACATTCATACAGTCATACTTGTCTAAAAATAAAAGAAAGAACGAAATGTTAGAAACATTTCGTTAAAGAAAAAATTAAAAAACATATTCTTTTCCCACCGAAATCCACATTCTAAACCGTCTGAAAAAGAAAATTTCCGAATTTTATAAGTTCAGACCTATTTAAAAAAAAAAGAATAAAATTTTGAATGTTAAAATGCGTTTCGGTAGAATGAATAGGAAAGAAACTTACCGAAAGTGAAGTTCCGTGCATCCAAAGAACTTGCTGTCTAAGAAAAAAAGAAAAGAGCAAAACGTTAGTAAGCGTTTCATTAAAGAAATTTTTAAAGAAAATTTCTGGAATCCCTACCGAAATTCTGCGCGTCCAAGGACTTGATTGCTTATAAAAAAAGAGAGAAAATCGAAACGTTAGCAAAATGTTTCGCTAAAAGAAGAAATTACATTTTTTTTCAGAAGCCCTTACCAAAAAAAAGAAAAAAATTGAAACGCTAGAAACATTTCGTTTAAGATTTTTTCAACGAGAGAAGCGGGAAAATGAAGGGAAAGAAAAGAGAAGGGAAATGTAAAAGTAAAGAGAAAAGGGAAGGAAAAGGAAAGAATGAGGGAGAGATGAAGGAAGGTACAAATGGAAGTGAAAGGGCAAACGAAAGAAAAGGGAAGAATGAAAAAAAAGTTAGTTAATCAACCTGCGGATTATATCACGTGAAACACGTGATACATACTTTTCCAAGGTCAAGCGTAGGAGATAATAAACGCATTTATTGTGATAGGTGATGAATAAGTAAAATAATTAAATTATTTATAAAAAAAATCTTTTATTAATAAAATTTTGAAACAGATTTATTTTACATCCAAATCGAATCGTATGGTTATTAAATATCAAAAAAACTCTGAAAAATTCCTAGCGAAATTAAAAAAATTTTCACTTTTTTTTATCTTACAAAAAAGCAATCAACATTTAATTTAATGATATTGAATTCAATTTATTTTAACATTAAATTTATAATTCTTTTCATTAAATGATCCTTGAACGAATATCGCACATACTTGCTCAATAGTTGATACACTAAAGTTTTCAAAAATGAAAATGAGAATTTAACATCTGGGATTTCTACTAATTAATGATTATTTTAGCTTAAAAAAATTTTGTACAAATTTTATTCTGTGAATAGATATATATTCTTTTCTGTTAATATCGTGTGATAAAGAAGTAATAAATTAAAGTCAAATTATATGTTGAGCGAGGAATCTGAAAATGTTGTGGTTGCAAGATTATTAAAATTTCTTAAAAATCAATTTAATTTAATAGACGTTCTAACATGAAACTTCAGATTGTTCAGAATTTATAGAAATATATTAAACAATTTAGAATGACAAGTGAAAAGTTTCTTAATGTAAGATCGCTCCATTTTTGCAATGGGAAAGAATTTTTCTTATACAAATTAAACATATGATGATTGATGATAGCCATTACTATTAGTCGTAGTGCTGAAGAATTAGAATTTAAAATGATCATAACTTTCACACTGATATATGAACATATTTGGATATCTTTGTTTCTTTTATCCGTCTATCCGAAAATCAATCTTATAAAAAAAAGTTCCCTAGGTCCACTGCTCAAGTTGTCAAGCTGATGTTTGCTAATTCGAATTATTAATCTATTAATTTTAGAAAATCATATAATTCGGAGAAAGTAATTCTAAAATAATTTATTATATTTTATATAAGATGTTCAACTATTAGAATAAATTACGAAAAAGTACTTTACCACGTCGGCGCGTCCTCCTCTTTATAATCAAAACCAGTCTTCTGCATTACTTACGTTATATTTCAATAAATCTAAAAATAAGTTGGATATAAAATATTGGGCCGAAAAAATATTACGCATCATGCATTAATGAATATCTAATTAATAATATTATAAATTAATTTATAAAATAAATAATATATTACATACTTACACTATTTACATTTACGGAAGTAAGTATTCAAAAAAATTTACACACGGAGAAATATTTATGATGTGAGTAATCTTATGCTGAGCTAACAAGTCACCATTAGCGCCTGTAACCGCATCTGAGATATATATAATTTTTGTAAATATTTGAAATAGAAAGTACTATAATATAGATAATGTAATAATATGCGAGCCGGGAAATTCGTTTATTACATCGTTCGTTATGATTTTATCATTTTTTTTTTTTTTCACTAATTCGACTTCGAAATTCCGTAAGAAAGAATTAAGTTCTTTCTTTTTCTTTTTATTTCGAAAATTTTGATTACATGGATACGGCAACGATCAAAAAAATAAGATTTTAATATATCTTTGGTATTGGTAAGCATAAGGCATTAGGTAATCTACTGTAGGTAATAAAAAACTATTAAATTTTTTTGTCAGCTTTCCCTTATTAGTTCTATCATGAACCGAAGTTTCAATTTATTATAGGAAAATTTTCCATTATTTAATGATTTATTCGATAGTGTCTTTTCTTCTCATTGAAAAAAAAAATATTATAAATTAAGGCTGATTTGATCGCAATTGTAAAAAATATATTATTGAAATCTTATCGAATTTGTAAATAAATTGTAAAATTGTGTTTTTGAATTCATAAATAAATAATAAAGTATTTCAAAGTAAATAATAAAATATTATTAAGTAAATTGATCTTTTGAAATTGTAAAGTTTTAGGAAATAATATATATGACTTTTAAAAAAATACATATTTAGGATTCTTAAAAATATTATTATTATTACCATTTGGTAAAAGAATAGGAGCTTTATTTATCAGGGAAATAGTAGTAACTAGTAAGTTTATTTAGACGATTTCTTTACGGAAAAAAAGTGAGGTTGGAACCGGTCCAAAAAAGCTAATAACCGGTTAACCAAACCTTTACCCGGTTAATTAACACCCCATTCGACCGATCGACAAAAGATATAACTAACCTAGACACCTTGAGACATGAAATGTAAGGTTAGAACCTTTGTCGATCGGTCGAATGGGGTGCAATTTAACCGATTAAAAATTGTTTTTTACAGTAACCGGTTAACAAATGTTTTAACCGGTTAAGCTTAACCTCTAATCTATTGCGCCATATATTTAATCGGTAGTGATGAACTGTGAAAGTTACACAGCGGAATATCCGACGTTACTACTTAACTAGAATTGAACAAACCTGTTCTGCATTTTTGGTCAAATTAAATGAAAAGTAAATATGATACTATAAATTAAAGTTTAATATTTTTAAAAAACAAATATTTTTTTTTAAAAAAATATTGATAAAAAATTTTATATACGATAATGGCATCAAAATTTTGGCCGGAACTTATGAAAGGTTACGAAAAACTTTTTGAAAGTAAAGAGTATTATGACGTTATTATACAGGCGGGAGAAGAGCCAAATGTACAAGAAATTTATGCTCATTCCTTAATTCTTCGTCGATCAGATTATTTTCGTTCTAATTTAAGGGAAAAGAGGGGGGATGGAAAGTTCATTTTTAAGATATCTAATATTCCACCAAAAACTTTAGAAAATATTTTCAGGTAATTTATTTCAAAATAATTTTTAAACTTGATAACTTAAAATTATGTAAAAAAACTAAGCTAAATAAACTAATTTAATAATAGATTTTTATATTGTGGAAAGATTGATTTAAGTGTTGAAGCTGTAGATATTTTGACCTTATTGACAACAGCAAATGAATTTGAATTGGAATCACTTGTTGTGCATATTCAAGAATTTTTAATTGATAATCAAAAAGATTTTATTAAAAATAATGTCACTAAATTTCTTGATGATAATATTTTTGAAAGTAATAATTTTAAACTTATAAGAAATTATTGTTTAGAAATAATTCCCGATACTCCAAATGATTGAATTCATTCTCAAACAAGAAATATTACATTAGATGAAATTGAAATTTGGAATAACTTGATGAAATGTTCATGCGCTCAAAATCCTAATGTTAATCAAGATCTTTCAGAATGGACCTTATTTCTTTTTTTTAAAATTATTTCTTTTTTTTTAAAAAATTATTATTCATTTTTTATTATTCGTAATTCATAGTTATATTTTTTTTAATATTAAAAAATGTATTAAATAAATGTAACAAAATTGAATAAAGCGATACTTTTTTCTAAATGTGATAAAAATCAAATAAAATATAATTAAATACGAAAAAATTCAAACGTGAATTTTAATAAAAAATATCATGTACATAGTATGAATTATTGTAGGGATAAGTATTTGTCATACAAATTTGTTAATGTTTGAGAACATGATTTTTTTAAAACATATATATGAACAGCTTCAAGCGACAAATAATACATTATTACGGGATCTTTATAGTACTTCATGCTGATAGGTTAAAATAATTTTTGTAATCTGGATACATACAATAAAACATTACTAACCTTCAATTGGAATTATTGTTTTTCATTTATTTCTTCATTTATTTTAAGATTTGAAGGCCGCACTTCAATTTTATCGAGTTTCATTAATTTATTAGATCATTTTTTTTAAAAAATTTTGTACCAGTGAAAAAATATAAACCTGAGAAGATACAATACCATACTATTCAACTATCAAATTAATTTATTAAGCGTTCATATAATCATTATAATAATACCTATAGATATTATAATTTGAAAAATTTTATGTCGGTACTGTTTAATTCGGATTGTAATATTATTCTTTTTCAGATTTAAAATCTCCTTTCCAAAATGAAGTTCCGATTTGTAGGACCTCTGTTTTTATTATAAAATCAAAATCCACAGTATTCTAGTATTACTAATAATGTTGCGCGAAATAATTGTATGTGATGGTGTAATAGACTTTTTTTTACAGAGAACAATTTAATTGAACTTTTTTAATAATCGATGGACGATTATAAGTTTTACACTTAGAAGCTTTCAAAGTCAGAAAAATTTGAAATTTTACGCGCTCGAAGTAACATTTAGAACACCAAGAAAAAAAAATGGACAGAATCTTATTCATATTGAAAATCATATTAAATTTTATTTAGAAAGTATTTATCAATCGTATTTCTTTTTTTTTCAATCAATATCACACCTTGAAACAGCAGCTGTAACAACAAATGATATGGACAATTATTTTAGATTTGGATAAAAAAATTTTTCTTCTAAAGTAGATAAATTGCTGAATTATCTATTAGACTAATTCTTGGTTTGAATTAGAAAGTAATCTACACATAAAAATGATTTAAAAAACTCTTTATTGATTTTATATTATAAAAAATTTCATAAAATAGGTAATTTCGAAATTTACATCTTCAAATAATTTTTTAAATATGATTTTAAGTAATCTACGCATAAAAACAATTTAAAAACTTATCACGTTATATTACAGCTGTTTTCATAAGATCTGGGACAAACTAAATTTTTGAACCCGATCCGCCGATCCGCCGATCCGGTATTTTTAGCTGGGCACGTGATCCTGATTTGATAGTTTGATTTGTAAAATAAATAACAACTGAGCTGGATCGGTGGGTCGGCGGTCGGGTTCAAAAATTTATTTGTCCCAGGTCTTATGAAAACAGCTGTAAAATAGTTTCGATATACCGGAATTTACTAGTAAAAGCTCGATATTCGCTATAACGGATCAATTTTCTAACCAGCTATAGTAAAAATGATTCGATAAACCGGATCGCGTGATAATTGACCAATAAAATTTAAGTAACGTGATACGGTAAAACTTAATTTTGGCCAGAATTATAAAATTCTTAATTCCGGCTGAAGTTATGTATTGCTCATATCTTCAATTAATATTCATTTTCATGAATTCTATGACTTAAAACTAAGATGAAAAAATTAAATTATAGCGTGTATTAGTTCTATTAGCATGAAATTTTTTTGAAAATTCAGAATAATAGATTTTCAGTATATCGAAATTTTTTCGCTATACCGGATATCCCGATAAACCGGATATTTTTAGTGGAACCGATAGATCCGGTTTATCGAATTTCACTGTGTATAATATGTAAAGAAAGAGAATAAGGATTTCATTATTTTAATTCGAATAAAAAAGTCAATTTCAACTTAACTGTTTTTACAAAGTCTCATAACGGTACTTATATATGATTCATCTTAGTGACCATTATCCTTCAAAAATGTCGGTGAAATGATCAGAAATATCAGTCGCGTGATATAAAAATAAAATTAAGTCTTGATTTTAAATCGTAAATGGAATACGTAAGATTTATAATAGGAGAACTGAAGTAGAAAAACAGAACCTGTGATTGATATGATTTTTGATAATTGCATGTGTTTTACGAAAATTATATTTTTATTGTCCGATTTAAAAATGATCCAAAAGGAAAAAAAAAATTAATTGAGCCTCATTATTACTCTTTATATCATAATAGTTTACTTTAGTAATTATCTAACAAAATCAAATAAAAGATAATTCACCCAGTTTACAAATTGTATAATGCTGTGTTAAAACTTTCACAGTAATTTTTACGATATGAATGATAAGTAATTTAGAAAACAATATATAAAGGATTAAGAGAAATTTAAGCGAGAAGAAATTTTTATTAGAAATAAGATACTTCTGCCTGCAGAAGCATTTTTAGTATACAATCAATATAAAATTTGATATAATAATATAATAATAAAACTTAATGTTCGATTTTACTTAATTACACTTTCATATATTTTTCCACCATCTTATCATGATCATCCGTCCACGAATAAACCAATTCATCCCAATTATGGTTAAATTTAATTGGTGGTCTATTTTTAGATTTCCAAGTTTCAAAAAATGATTCCAACCCTTTCAATGAAAAATTCCATTTGTCTCCAAATTTAAATTCTTGTAAAACCATAGGTGACGCTTCGCTCATTACTCTTAATAATTCATCTCCATTTGGTAATATATTAACATTTGTTGTAAGAAATAATTTCTCCAACTGCTTGCAACTTGAAAAAATCTTGCTCATTTCTCCCAAGTTTTTATAGTCAACATTCACAGTTAATTTTATTAGTTTTGGGCAATATATTGATATCACCTCAATTAACTTTCTATTGTCAGATTCAGATTCAAGTGGAGAATGTATATTAATTTCTAAAATGTTTCTCCCAGATTTTTCAATTATTAAACATGTAATACTGCTTGGTAAACATGTTGTCTCAAGATATTGAAGATCTGGAAAAGATGCCATGTTTAAGTAGCGTTTCCATTCACACAACTCAACATTTTCATATAATTCACCATATTCATTACTAAGAGCTAAATATTGTATATTTTTTAATGATAGAACAAATATAGGTGAAATTAATGTGATAATGGGTTGTATTATAACTTTTTTTAATGTTGCAGCCTTTTTTTCAATAATGTTGCCTAGTAATATGTATTGTTCTTCTACCTCATCATTCTCTTCATCAAATTCTAGACATAATGACTGCAATTTTTTTTGTATTTTGATGAATGAGGCTAAACCTGGAGTATCCTCATCACACATATGTATCTCCAAGTTTGTTAAATTTTGGCAAATCTTGCCAAGTTTGATTAGTGTTTTTGAGGTTATACCTCTAGGGGATATTTCGAGGGAACGTAATTTTGAAAAAAAAATTTTTGCATTTGGATACCGATATAGTCTCTTTTTGGTATACCAATGGAAATTCTTTGCATTATTACATCTATTAAAAATTAATTTGTAAATTTCAAATTCTAATATTCTTTCTTTGTATTTAGACCCAACTTCGTCATTTATTAATAGTTTTGCCATATCTTCAATCCATACTGTCGAGAGACTAGTGAGAAAATCCATGTATTTGAACATTGGTTCTTTTGGAAATTTATTTAAAGGTAATAAAATATTATTTTGTGGCAAAAGATCTTTTGGATTATTTGGTAGAAAGTGGGCGATAACATTGTAAAATTTTTTACGTGATTCTCGTTTATAATTGTAAGGATTTTCGTAAGTATCTGAAAAAGATTTCCATAGCAAAGGTACAGCCACTTGACACCAGTTTTTATTTACTAAACTACATGAATGCAAAGAATCAAGATCATTTAATTCAGTAAAAATTAATAAGAGAACATCTCTTACGAGTGATGCCATATTGTTAAAAGTGGTAAATGTAATGATGAAAATTTTAAGTTATTAGAAAACGTCTCTCTGCGAGAAGGAAATTTGAAAATTGTAAAGAAAAAGAAAAAATTTAAAAAAAACTGGATGATTATATCAAAGAATAATTAAACTGAATGGTATAAATGATAAAATAGTTTAAAGATATGAATGCATATTTATATAAAAATTTGTCAAGCCAAATCATAAATTAAAATATTTTTTGATTAATCATATTATATATTAATATATATGTTTAGTTTAGTTAATAATGTTCTGATGCAATAGGGGCTTACATGTTTTCAATATGAGAATTTTCAATTCTTGAAAGAGAAATATTGATTTATTCGATTGTTTGAATCAATAAAACAATCATTAAAAATTTAGAAAAATAAAACATTTAATGATTGATAATTGTTCTTGATTTTCAAATTAGGGAGTTCTGCTGTGTCCCAACAACATTTGTTTTTTCTTCCATTTAAGAAATTATTGAAAGCGCGGCATTTTTTGTCGTTGAAACTTAATTTTGGTACACAAGAATGCCCTAATTAGATACAATTAATTGACTTATTAAAAAGCAATAAGTTTTATTTTGGAAATAAAATAAACATTGAAAATCGTTGTTTTATTTCGGGATAAAAAAAAACAAATGTTTCAAAATACAAAAATTAAAAATTAACGTTAATATTTATTTTTGTGGCTAAAACAACGATTATTTTAAAGTTTCTCATGTAACATTTACATTAAACAATCATGAAAATTGATACACAAAAACCCCTTATAATCTTTTAGTAAAAGATTTTCCATATGTGGTTTAATTTGTAATTATTGAATACAATGAAAATGATTTATTAATTTGCTTATTCGTTTTATTTGTTCAAATACATGAGAACGATTCGGACTTTTTTCCGCAGAATTTTCATGTTGAAAATTTATAATAAAATCGTAAGATATATTCAATTAATTCTTAATTTTCCACATTAGGAAATATTGCTATGATCTGACAACGACTTTTTCTTTCCTGTCATCCCTATCATCGTTAATACCGTAGTAATAAATCATTTTTCGTTTAAAAATAATTAATGTTATTAAATGTTATTAATATAAAATATTTTATATCGTGAAACGCTATGCATCGAATAGACATTGAAGACGAAGTAATAAAATTATTCAACCTCTTTTAAGAAATGAAATCATGATACAGGGTACGAAAAATTAATGTAATGCTCCGTTTGTACCGACCCCAGTGTATTAGAGTAACAAAATAAGTAATTTCATGAATTTTCATTTTCATTGTTTCCAAATCTAGACGTAAAATGTGTTTCATATACAATATAACAATACGTATCACATGATCTACGTTTTACGTAGCTTTGACTGCGGCTTATAATCTGACAAAAATATATGAAATTTATAATATATCATTACGATGAAACGGATTGTTACCTGATTATAGTAATATAATTTTTGTGACGTATTTATTTATTCAATAAAATTTTTTCTTGTACAAACCTTTCTTTTATTTTGTGTTATGTAACTGGAACATGATACTTCTTTAATGCTTTTTCTAGTGGACTGTACAAATAATTCTTTATATAATTACTAAAGAATAAAACAAATAAAGTAAAACATTATATTTGAAAAATTAAACAATTGTTCTTATAGACCTAGTACAAATAAGATCTTATTTATTTAAATTACAAAATTGCGTAATGATAAGATATTTATTTCTCTTATACAATAAAATTAATACGTTACTTTCTGATATTTTATTCTTATTTTATATTTTTGTCACCCTTGTCACCCTATAAAAACTTCTCTGATTTAGCAACTTTAACGCTGCTGGCATGTGACTAACACGTGACTATAAGGACAACTGCTAGTGGCATTTTTTTCGTTTGACTGTCTAGTTTCTATCTCTTAGTTAATATGAAACCTTAATTGTTTTTTAATTTTGGAAAATATGATTATTTTTTTTAAAAAAAACATGGAATTATAGATTTTATCATTTCACTTCATACTATCTGCTTTATAGAGGCGATAAGGAACATTAATACGACAATTTACTTTGCTAACAACCTAAAATTTTTGTATACAAACTATAATAAGATGCTCTCAACATACGATCACCCTATAAAAAATGTTTGTCTGATAAATATTCGGAATACTGACTTTACGTTTTGTTTCTTACTCATTTTTTTTATTTTTTTTTTATTTTGTTTCTGTTTCATATTTCGTTTTCACTAATTTTATTTCATTTTTTTTATATAATTAATAAAGGTATATTTTTTATTATTTATTTTGTTTTTTTTTTTTTTACTTCATGTTTTATTTTTACTTGGTTTCCTATCTTTTGCTACCCAACCTCCTATCATGATCATTTTTTTATTTTTTGTCTCTCATCATTTTTCACCTCCTATTACTTTCATTATTCTATACTTTTCATCTCCCATTATTTTCTATTACATCTTTTCATTTTTTGTTATCTCTTTTCTCTCCTGTTTAATTACCATCATTTCTTTTTGTCTCCCATCGCTCCTTTTCGTCTCCCATCACTCCTCTTCATCTTCCCATCACTTCTTTTTGTCTCCCATCACTCCTCTTCAACTTCTCATCACTTCTTTTCGTCTCCCATCACTCCTCTTCATCTTCTCATTACTTCTTTTCGTCTCCCATCAATCCTTTTTGTCTCCCATTATTCCTCTTCATCTTCTCATCACTCCTTTTCGTCTCCCATTGCTCCTCTTCATCTTCTCATCACTCCTTTTCGTCTCCCATTACTCCTATTCATCTTTCCATCACGCTTCTTTATCTTCTCATTATTCCTTTTCGTCTCCCATCACTCCTCTTTCCATCACGCCTCTTTATCTTCTCATCACTCCTCTTCATCTTCCTATTACTTCTTTTCGTCTCTTATCATTCCTCTTCATCTTCTCATTACTTCTTTTCGTCTCCCATCAAACCTTTTTGTCTCCCATTACTCCTCTTCATCTTCTTTCGTCTCCCATCACTCCTCTTCATCTTTCCATCACGCCTCTTTATCTTCTCATCACTCCTTTTTCGTCTCCCATCACTTCTCTTCATCTTCCCATCACTTCTTTTCGTCTCCCATCACTCCTCTTCTTTCCATCACGCTTCTTTATCTTCTCATCACTCCTCTTCATCTTTCCATCATTCCTCTTTATCTTTCCATCATTCCTTTTCGTTTCCCATTAATCCTTTTTGTCTCCCATTATTCCTCTTCATCTTCTCATTACTCCTTTTCGTCTCCCATCACTCCTCTTCATCTTTCCATCACGCTTCTTTAGCTTCTCATCACTCCTTTTCGTATCCCATCACTCCTCTTCATCTTTCCATCATTCCTCTTTATCTTTCCATCACTCCTTTTCGTCTCCCACCATTCCTTTTCGTCCCTCATCACTCCTCATCATCTTCTCATTACTTCTTTTCGTCTCCCATCTATCCCTTTTGTCTCCCGTTACTCCTCTTCATCTTCTCATCATTCCTCTTCACCTTCCCATTACTCCTCTTCATCTTCTCATCACTCCTTTTCGTCTCCCATCACTCCTCTTCATCTACCATCATGCCATATTTCTCCTTTTTTGTTTCCTATCATTTCTCATTACTCTTTTTTACTCCCTTTCATCTTCTACTACTTTCCATTACTTCATTGTTATTTCATTTTTTATTAGCATCTTCTTGATCATTGTAATTTACTTATCTTTTATTTATTGCTATTGTTTCTTTTATTTGTATCACTTCATTAAAAATACGGTGATTCTTTTCTTTAAAATCATAAATGTGTAACTTAAAATTTAATATTTGCAAATAAAATTTCATTAGATAAGATTATTTTGAATAAATATGTTTGCAAAAATTTTTTTTTTAAAATATCTTGCGATAAAATTTTAAGTTTAGCTGATCAAAAATTAGCTAAGTTAAAAAAATCAGCCGTCAGCCAATTAATAAATTTACTTTATATATTGTACATCATGTAAAATATTTGGAAAAAAATCCCCAGGCGACAATTTCCCAGGCCACGTTTAGCAATTCCCTTAAATTTTTACTATTTTACTATTTTAACTTATAATAAACCGAAATCTGCCATTTCTCTATACTTAATTTACTCATTATAAATAGAAAAAATCATTTGTTTATTCATTTTATTTAAGAAAAAGCTGGATTTAAAAAATTTATTTATTTTTAACGAAGCTTATTTATAAAAGGAGAGATCAACAATTTGTATATTTATAAATTGAAGTCATTTTTTTTACAATAACTTTCACTTAAAAGACCCCGACCTCCTGTTAAGGCAATGTTACATGTCACGATTGTCACATGGGAATTGTTGACATCTTACAATTAATGTTATAATAGATTTTTTATACACACCTTTTTTTATTTTATAATGTAAGCTATCACAAACTAGTAGATTCAAACTAATCTAACAGTTTAATAGTTTAATGTAACATTGTGATTAGAGATTTACATAAATATATTAAGAAAATTATATATCATTCCTATCAGTTTCTTGATCTCTAACATTATTTCTTTTAGTCAATACCAATAATATATATTCTAGTTTTAGATTTATTATATCAATTGTTATTTATGTATAATCCTTGGTTATGTGTAACTTTAAAATATCAAAATTATGTGATGACTTGAATCACAAGCTATAAGTAAGTTCTAATGACTAAATATTTAAAAATATATAAATTTTTAATCATTTGGAAAACACAAATAAAATGTGTAACTATAAAATTAATTGTGTAATATCAAATATGTATTTGGAACTTTTCGGATGTACTGCAACAATTGTAGCATCAATTTTGATCACATTGCAACACATGATCTAAACTTATACTGATCAACAAATATTTTGTTACACAATAATGAATCAACTAATACAGTTAACTCCGGAGTCCGGCTTTTTTTAAATCGTATTTTAATAATATTTTCTTTCTTTCGGATGTTTAAAATATAAATTATTTTATTAATCGCCCGATGTAGCAAAGTTCATAATATTTTTTCTTAATACAAATAAAATGGCATGTCAACTTCCAGCTGATTGTTTAAATGAGATTTTTGAATATTTAGAGATAGATAAATTCACTTTACACTCATGTTTGTTAGTTAATCGTCTTTGGTGTGAAATTTCTGTTAGAATTTTGTGGAGGAATCCTTTTGATTTCAAATTTGATCGTAAAAGATCGTTCAAAATATATTCGTCAATTCTTAGTACATTAATTGCTTGTCTTCCAGATGAGTCAAAAAATTTCTTGTATAATAATGGAATTTTCATTTTAACACCTACTTCAAAACCATTGTTATTTAATTATGCATCATTTTTCAAAGCTCTTTCAATTTATAGGATTAATACGATGATTGTTAATGTCCTTAAAAATAGACCATATTCAATTTCAGTAGATAAAAATAGTTTAGTTGCAAATGAAATTATCAAAATGTTTGCAAACCAAATTTCTTCTTTGAAAAAATTGACTTATTACCATAGTTATTTTTATTATAAGCGTCACTTTAATATTTCTTTCCCTCATTTTCCTGGAGCGAGAGATCTTTCAGAATTATGTTGTGGTTCAGATCTTCCTTCGGATTTTTTTTATCAATTGTCCCAAATATGCCATAATTTACAATCTATTTCTATAGATTTTCGTAGTAGTGTTACAGATGAGTTAAAAGGTTTAATATCTTCTCAGAATAATTTAAAAGATTTAAATTTATCAGCTTTTGATGATGGAAGTTGGACAGATATTATACCTGCTATAACAAAACATTCTCATACAATAACAAAATTAAAATTTCATAGTGATGATGATATTTCATCATTCTCATTTATCAGTTCATTCTCAAATTTACAAGAATTGTTATTTTCATTCCTTGGTGGAGTACTTGAAGATTTTATAAAATTACAATATGTTAATTTTTTAAAATTACAAGTTTTAAAAATTCCTTATGAATGTCCAAAACCTGAGTATGTAATGAAATTTTTAGAAAATAATGGAAAGAACCTTAAAAAGTTTTATACAGGTGAAAATAACAAAGATTTAAGTTTATCTATTGCTAAATTTTGTCCAAATCTTAAAAGCCTTTTCGTAATATTTAATGATGATGAGATAGATGTACTAAAAACTATACTTATCAATTGTCAATACTTAGAAAGTATTAAAATTTGGTGTGGTACAGATTATTTATCAGAGAAAGAAGTATTAGAAACTGTTGCAAAATATTCACCAAATAATTTTTGTGAATTAAAAATACACCACATTACAAATTCAGATGTATCTCCAGATGATTTAGAATCATTCTTTATATGCTGGGAAAGGAGGACACTAAAAAAACTTTCATTTACAATTATTGTAGAATATCAATTATATTGTGGTTATAATAATTTAGAAACTTTAGAAGTAATAAAAAAATATGAAAATTTAGGTACTATTAAATATGTAACTAAAAGTGAAGAGGAAGAAAGCGAAGAAGAGGAGGAGAAATTTTAGTTAACTTTTTATTTTTAGAATAAGCTTACTTTTTTTTTTAGGAAATATAGGATTTTAGTGTTCATTTTAAATGATCGAGATTTATTGTCAGTATTATTTATTACAATGTTAAGATTGATTTAAATGTTTTTTAGATTTCTTATTCTTTTTTTTTTTTGTTTTTTTCATTATAAAATGTTTAAATAAAAATTTTATAATTCTCTACCTTTATTTTTTTAAATCCCAACTTACGTACAGTATATACCGATTTAGTATAAAAAAAAAGTCCCTTTTATCATTTTAAAATCTTAAGATTTAATTTATTTGACCTTCCAATATTCGACCTTCCATGCGTTTGGTATATAACGTTAAATTGCTTTCGCCGTCGATATTGCTAATATATAGATTCTTTGTTGAGCATATTAATAAAAGCTGTATGACAAATGAATTTCCAGCATAACCATTTTATTTTTCGCCAATAATTATATTTTTCTTGTCTTCAATTATTAATTTTACAAGAAAATCAAGAAAATCTGTAATGTTTGCGAATCATTTACTACTGCAGTCAATAATGCATTAAGAGGTTGTAATATTTATATAAATGGTAAACATAAATGCATGAATTTCAAAAACAATACATACTTGATGTATAGTAATTGTTATTTGTGATATTTGTAACAACAATTTGAATACTTAGAATCTAAGATTTATTTCATACAACTTTTAAACTCGAGAAATAATATTTAGACTATTAAAAATTCTCTAATACGGAAGTTTATCACTTATTATAAACAGTTTATTATTGGAAAAATATTTAAAATTTATGTAACTTAGTCACACCATTTTATTTATTTCATTAACAATTCTAATGCGTTCATTATTATCATCATGTAATTGTTATTATATGTTTATTTATTCAGTTATTTGCAAATATGTTTTATATCTAACTATCAGATGATTTATCAATCGACGTAAAATCATACTAATCGAACTTTACTAGACTCACGACAGTTTCCAGAACGATATCTTAGATAATAATTAATAACTAGACTAAATTATCAACAGTTTAGCTCCAATGATTTTCAATTTAAAGCAGGTTAAACTACAGTATTTTGAAAAGTTTAAATTTAGCTTGATGTATAAAGCTGTATATGAAAAAGTTGTTCCTAGAATTAAATCTTCAGTCATTAAAAATAATAGTAAAAAGAAAGAAAATAAATAAACATCATTTTATTTATGAGTATATTTACTAAATTCTAAATTTTATAACTTTGTTTTTTATATTTCAATTGTTTGATAATACCCTATTTAAATTATAAATAATGAATTCAATAGACTTTGTAACAAATCTCTTTTTTCAAACCATTATGTTACATAAAGTCATAACAAAATAATAATTGCTACATTTTAAATATTAAATTTTTATTATAAATTAACTCATTAGCATAATTGCCAAGTGCCAAGTAATTTCGCTTATTTATATAATAAATAAGAAATACTGAATGTTTGAATTTTATTTCTATTTTTTAATTATTTGAAATACTTCATAATAATCTACTGAAAAATTGGATTACCAATAGCTTACATGGCAGCCTGATTTAATAATAGTAAATGAAATTTTGAAGGTATAGTAATCAAAATCCATCATTAAACCCATAAATTTACGGTGGCCTAAAATATTTAACAATTAATTTATTTTATTATGTTTTTCTTGTTTTCTTTCCTAGTATATTGCTTTCTCTTATTCAAATTATAAAACATCTTAAACCACCAAACGAAACTACCAACAGAAAAAGCTAACTGGGTGCTTATTTTCGGGACTATATGGTGCTTATTATCTAGTGGCAGTTCTGGTAACTGATTAGGGCCTGGAGCTAATTAATGAATAGACGAGTTAGGTACTAAACATATATCATCTTTAATGCAAGAAGAAACTGCACAATGTATTCAGGACAAAATTTTCTACTAAAACAGGAAAAACCTAGTTGACCATAACTATTTACAGTGTTCAGCAAATGACTTGAAATGAACAAATGACTCAAATGACAAGTCATTTGTCATTTGTCATTTGCAACTCAAATGACCTGTCATTTAAGTCATTTGAAAAATATTAAATATTCTGAGAATTTTTATTAATTATTTTGTTTATTTTAATTAAGAAAACAAAAATATTAAAACAAAATTGGTTTAATATATATAATCAAAAAAGTTCCAATAGTAGTAAAGATTTTTTAATCACGTGATTTTGTTATTATTTTACAGGTTATTATTTGTTAATAATATTATTATAGACAGGATTATTTCACTTATAATTATTTCACTAATGATCATTTTATCCACACAGATAAAAGTTAATTGATTTTGCAATAAAATATTTAATTGTAACACATGTAGTGGATCCCATTTTTCACCATTTTTATATATAATTGTTGTCTTTATTTAATCATAAGATGGCCATAATATTTATTTATGCATATAATTATATAATAAAATTATATATAATAAATAACATATCAGATATTATCACTTTAATAATTATGGTTGTGTTATTTATTATTTTCAGATTACAGTAAAAAATAAATAATTTGGTAAAATTGATTCTGTTTGTGATTATTTCGATTACGTCCTTCCTTTTTGTACATCACGTGATTATAAATTGTCCAATAATCTTTAAATATTTTAATGACAAATGACCAAATGACAAAGGACGCAAATGACAGTCAAATGATACCCAATCATTTGGCATTTGTCATTTCGCGAATAATTCAAATGCCAAATGCCAAATGATGGGGTGTCATTTGACCAAATGACTCCTAATCCGAAAAATGGTCAAATGACCAGGTCATTTCCGAACACTGACTATTTACGCAACTAATAGTATGGCATGTAACTTAAGTTAGGTAAATTATCATTATGTTAGATGGGTTAAAACTTATATTTTTTATTTTTTCTTTATTTTTAACATTAATAAATTGATCTGCGAATTCACCTGATATGAAAATCCCGTGTATGTCATTTTTACCGCAGTCAATGAAGTCACTGTGCATGTCGATCAAACATAAAATTACATTTAAGGTTAATTTTCATATCCGATCGTATGACAAACACTTTTTTCTCTTTACAAGTTTTTACAATGTCTTCAAATTTTTTGGTAGAGTTATCCAATGATTATGAAAAACTTTTTGAAACTGAAATAGGATATGACGTTGTTATTTATGCTGGAGAAGAACCGAATGTTAAAGAAATCCATGCTCATTCAAATATTTTATGCATTAGGTCTTTATATTTTCGTGCAGCATTTTCTAATGAATGGGCTGAAAAAAAGGATGGAAAATTTATTTTAAGGAAACCAAATATTTCGCCTTATTTATTTAATATTATTCTCAGGTAACAACGTACTATGTTATAAAGTTTTAATAACTGTCTAAAAATATCAAATTAATAATTATTGAATTATATTTTATAGGTTTATTTATTGCGGAAACATTGAATTAAAAAATTTGCAAGGACCAGATGTATTGAAATTGTTGATAGCTGTAGATGAACTCAATATCCAACAATTAGTTTCTCATATTCAAGAATTTTTAATTGAACATCAAACTGAATTTTTATATCAAAACCCAACTTGCATTCTTGAAACTGTTTATCAGCATGAGACATTTACAGATTTATGGAATTTTTGTCTTGAAAAAATTTGTAAAGAACCTAAAATTTTATTTGATTCTGATAAATTTATTAGTTTAAAAGCACCTTTATTAGAATTATTATTAAAAAGAGATGATTTAAATATGAATGAAATCGAAGTTTGGGAACGTTTACTGAGATGGTGCTTGTTTCAACAAAATATGGAAAGTGATCCAACCAAATGGAGTACTGATGACATTATAAAGATTGAGAGATCATTACATAATTTTATTCCATTAATTGGATTTTATGATATTGAACCTACAGATTTCTTTTACAAAGTTTATATTTACAAAGAAATCTTACCAAAAGATTTAATTCATGATCTTTTGGAATTTCATATTGTTCCTAATATTAAACCTAAAACCAATACAGCATCTTCAAGAAGGCCTAATCTTAATTCAACTTTAATTCAGTCAGATCACATTCCTTTATTTGCTTCATGGATTGACAGAAAAGATTCCTCCTATAACAAAAATGAAATTCCTTATGAATTTAAATTATTATATCGCTCAAATCGGGATGGATTTAGTGCTGAATCATTTCATCAAAATTGTGATAATAAAGGAGCCACTATTTGGGTAGCAAAAATTCAAGGTTCAACACAATTAATTGGAGGTTATAATCCACTTGATTGGAATGGAGATGATGAATGGAAACCTACTATAGATAGTTTTATGTTTAGTTTCACAGATGGAAAAGATATTTCTACTGCAAATTTAGGTTATGTAACAAAACCAGATTGTGCTATTTATTGTGCTAATAGTCAAGGTCCACATATGGGTTATTTTTATTGTAAAGGCCATAATATATGGAATACTTATGGTGATAATATTACTTTTTATCCTAATATAGGTATCCCAACTTCTGATTTTTTAGTAGATTGCTATGAAGTATTTCAAGTAATTGAAAAATAGAGAAAATTTATGATTATTTTGTACTGTATATAAACTGAACGATATGTTTATATTATTATAAATTCATTAATTAAAATGTTAAATTGGTGTATTATCAAAAAATTGTAATATAAAATCAAATTATATGTACAACCATTTAGTAAATTGTATTTTTTCTTGCTTAACTGTTTTTAGTTTTTTAGAGAATAAATCATTGGAGCTTCTATTTGCCAATTTTGTTCAATGCGGTCGGCGCAGTAGAACGGACTTTTTTAATTTTTTCTTTCTATTTTTCCTTTAAACCTTTATTTAATTATTTTTTTTCGTTTCTTAAATTTTTTATAAATTCTAGTTTTTTTAAAATTGTATTTTTTTATAATATTTTCTTTCTTTCTTTCTTTTGACTTTTATTTATGATTATTTTTTTTTCGAACTCTTTTTTCAAACTAAATAAATTTTTCTTTTTTATTTTTTGGTTTTTTATTCAATACCGAAAATCTTTTTTAATTATTTTTTTTTTATTTTCAGATTTTAATTCAATTCAATACTGAAAAATAAAAGTTTTTTATTACCGAAAATAAATTTTTTTTTTTTTAATCATTTCTTCTTTTTTTTTAGTTTTTAGTTCAGTAATTTTTTTAATAGTTTTTTTTTTAGCCCTTTTTCATTTTTATAAACTAGATTATTTAAATAGTCATATCTATATTTTCTAAGATTTTAATCCTGCAATAAAAATATATTAACTTGTTAGAGTTTTAAGTTAAAAGCTTGATAATATGATTTTTAAGAAGGAAAAAACTTTATTATTATTCAAAGATGCGAGAATCGGAAATCCTCTAATATCTGGCTATTAATAATTTTTTTTTGAAAATTGTTAATGTTAATAATGCTTTTGTATGCGAATTTCTCATATATAGTTCGTATAGTGATTATAATAACGTCACAATCGTCACATCATCAAACATCGTATTGATGATCTACTCATCGAATACTATCTTTTCGTTTCATTTTCTCATTTTCTCTTTCTGAGTGCCCGCACCTTGTCATGACTTTTTTAAATAAGCATTTAAATACTAAATGGTTATAAATAGAAGTTGTATGAATAAAAATTTTCATGACATTACTATTTTAAAAATTAATTCCGGTTATAAACTAGTTATCTTAGAAATTATTATTGTCACGCGCCACGTTCGTTTATAAATGAAATGAACTTTATTACTTTATTTGTTTTTTGACTTTATGACTTTCAGTAAAAAGAAAAATGGAAAAATATTCAATCCAAGTGAGAAAAATTCATATAAAAATTAGAAATATATGCGAGTTTTTAATTTATTTTACATTATAACTATACATATGTAGAACCGCGGAAGTTCTTCACTTAGTAAATATAAATATTTTAGTAAAACCATTCTATACTATAAAAATACCGTCAATATGAATGATATTTATTCGGAACTAATGATTCTATGCACTAAAGAATTCTAATATGTAAAGGTATAAGTTTTTGGGGATATGTTACATTTCGAATTTCTGCTTAACATCTAAAAATAGAATTAGCACAATCAAGGTAGTCCAATGTGTATTAGCATATTGCTTTAAACCACCTCCTTTAATACTTTTCTCTTAAAATTCACCCGCCTATAGCATGTAACTTTTTTAAAAAAGTTTATTGATGTCCATACGGTTTGTTAGATCACTAATTGGCATTTGTAAGTTCATGGAGAATTATTATCATAAGTTGTATTTTGGATTAATACTGTTTTAATAGTTTTGTAATATCATCAATTGTTGTATAAAGAGATATATATATTTTGACAATTATTTTACTTGTATCATTATCATTTCTAATTTTAGAAATATATAAATGGTGTGGTGAATTATTTAAGCTTATAAAAGAGGTAATTGGTAATATGATTAAAAATATTATTTCCAGCAATCTGTAAATCTTTTGTATATGTAAATTAGAAAGTTAAATTGTATATTAAAAATATAATGGTAATCCTTGAAATCCATGTTACTTGCAACTTATTGTGTATAATGTGTGAAAAATATTTAATTGTAATGAAAATGAAATTTTACTAACATTACTAATAGTAAATCTTGTATCTTTCTGTACAAATTACAGTTATATGTACCTTTAAATTATTTTCATAAATCTTTATATCTATATAATGTTCATATCCTTGATTATATCTTTTTTTTGGTTTTTTTTTGGATGGATGACTTAAAGAGTTATTTTAGAGTAATTACTCAATAATATGAAATAATTTATCACTTGTTGAATAATTTATCACCTGTTACATCCATGGCTCGATTGGCTTGTGTGAGTTTTCCATCCAGCTGTACATATTTAGTCATAAATGGTTGGTCAATTTACATATTTTATCATCAGATTGACCTTTGAATAAATTATGTATTTTAACATTCTTAAAATTATTTTTCTTTCATCAAAATTTGTATGTCAACTATCAGATTTCCCTCTCCAATATCAGTAAAATAAGCTCCTATTCTGAAATAATTAAACATATGGATAGTTAGAGTAATTTTATGCCTATATTCCATTAGTTCACTCTTAAACTATACTAAAATTTGTTTCTTCTAATAGTATTTCTCTCTAAGTATTAAATAGTAAAATGCAATAAATTATTAATCCATCTTCTTTGAGTAATATACCAATCCAATGTTTGAATATATTAATTATTTAAATATTCTGTTATATTTTCTTTTTTTGTAAACTTTTGTTTAATCTGTTTATATAAGTAGCATTGCTTCAAGAGTCAACAACGTAAAATGACTCATTCATTTTGTTCACTAGTCATAAAATATCGGGGTGTTTGATATGCCATTTACAATTTTGCATGAGATTGGCGTAATGTTGTTATGCCTCTGCTAGATCAATTCTTTGGGAAAAATCACCATTAATCCAATAATCCTCGTTATTTATTTTCATATAAAGTCCATAGTATATCATAATAAAAGGAAAACTTTCTTTATTATTGTTGCATGTTTGAGGACAAAATACTTTAATATATTTAAAGAATTATCTTTAAAGATTCTGGGTTGTTTAGAAACTTTAATAATCACAAAGTTTGTTAAAATTAATGTAATTAAGTAGATTCTCATGAGATTAAGGATGCAAATTGATTTTATTAACAATTTTCTTTGAGCTGGCAATAGGAAGGTTTTATTATTTTGAATACTTTGTCTGATACTCTAATTCCATTTTATCAGTCAGATAAGATTTCTTAAGAAATTTATTCTATAATAAAAAGTTCTATTAGTTTTAAAGGAATCGAGTAATAATACTGTATCTCTTGTGTAGGTGAAACATTATTTGGTTACAAAAAATGCTTTCAAATGTGATTCTTTTTTATTTTTCTTTGAATTTAACTTGTTCCCTAAACTACAACTTCTAATTTTATATCGTTGGTAATAAATTTAATAAGTTATATACTATACTAATTGACCAGACTGTGTTATTATTATAGATTGTAATTATGAAAGAAGTTGTGTAAAATTTAAAATATAATGCTTTTAATGAATAATATTTAATAAGGTCTAGTAGTTTAATCATTTGTTACTATATTTGTATATTTGGGAATGATACTTGTGCGGGAATAAAGCAAATGTCTATAATAAAACATGTGTGTAATGAAAAGGTTTTGCAATGAAAGGGTTTTAAATTATTTTTTTTTAATTTGGTTGACTCCTTAAAAATTTCTCCAACACAGAAATTTAACTTGATGTAATTGTTGATAGCAGGTGTATGTGACAATTACAACATTATGAAATGCACATTCCGCTCAATATATTAATATTATCAAATATCGATGATATTGTCTTGAATACACTTCAAATCATAGTAATTGAACCAAATATCATTAAATTATATGTATCATAGTAATGTTCATGAACAATTCTAGAGTTATTATAAAAGTTTATGTATGTAATAAATAATGATATAGTATGTTTAGAAAATATGATAGAATAAATTGTATTGATGTTGTTAGAATAAAAGAGGAATTAAACATTATAAAATTTTATTTTTAAATAAATAGAAAGAAATATATAATTTTTAAAAGAATTGAATGATGATGCATCCAAATAGCATATCTCGCTTGTTTGAAGAAAATTTTTTCATGAATAATTTTTCAAAATAAAATTTTTTTTAATAATTTATTAAATCTCAAAAGTTGAATATTAAATATTTAGGAAAAAAGGGGGGAATCATATTGAAAAAAAAAATTTTATAAATGTATTTACATGTACTAATAATAATTAAAGCCCCATTTAGTGTTCAAATGAGGCTTTTTATTCATGTGAAATCAAATGTTGAGATTATCTTCTTTATAAAATTAGTTCAACTACACAATAAGCCATAAATGTGGCCTTTTACAATAAACCATAAATATGGCTTTTTAATAATTTTAATTTCTGCATATTTATTTAAAAAAATTTAAAATAATCAAACATATATAATAAAATATCTCAGCCACATTAGAGGTCTGCAAACGGGACCCCGCACATGATTTTTCGTTAAACCCGGATTTTCGTAATTCTTAATTCCGGCCGAAATTAAACTGGCCGAATTTTTTTGTTTTTACAGCAAAATGATATAATAATAGTCCGGGTCCGGTCCGGGCTGGGTTTTTAATATATTAAGCCGGGCCGGGCACTTTAAGTTAATTTCCAAGCCTGGTTGTAAAATAGGAGTCAATGCAGACCTCTAAGCACATACTGAAATAAGAGCACAATACTCTATGAAAAGGCTTTGAACATGTTTGTATGGTATAAAATTTGTCAAATTGTGCTACAAAATTATTAAAAATATTGTAATATAAATTACTAAGTAAAAATTGTTAGTTACTTTTATTGAATAACAATATTTATTGTAATTAAGTCGTTCCCATTATTGTCAGTAAATTCATACAAAAGTGATGTAGTATGCACTATATTTGATTTTAAATAGCATGAATTTCATCATTGAGGTCATATTTTTCTTAATGACAAGACTAATGCAA